ATTACTGAATTCTTGGAGAGACTTCAAGAATTATCTGAAGCATAAGCACAAGGAATTGTCACTTGAAGATCTGGTTATGACATTGAGAATAGAATAAGACAATAAGATGTCTGACAAGAGGAATGGAAACAATCCTGTGATCTCCAAGGCTAATGTAGTTGAAGAGGGATCAAAGTCAAAGAAGAGGAAATATTCTGAAGATGGAAATGCTAAGCAAGGAAAGGGTAAAAAGTTCAAAGGCAACTGTTATAATTGTGGGAATCCTGGCCACCGTGCAAGGGATTGTAAGAAGGAACAAAAGAAAGATCAGAGGAAGCCAAAAAAGTTCAATAAGAAGAAGAAGAGCACTCAAGCCAATATGGTTGATATTGCTGATCAGGTTGAAGAACTTAATCTGACAGCAGTAGTGATGGATTGCAATCTGATGGGAGACTCTAAGGAATGGTGGGTGGACACTGGTGCCACCAGACATGTCTGTTCAAATAAGTGGATGTTCTCCTCCTATACTCCTACTGATAATAACGAGAAGCTCTATATGGGTAACTCATCTACTTCAAAAGTTGAAGGTGTGGGTAAAGTGGCTTTGAAGATGACATCTGGCAAGATAGTGACACTGAATGATGTGTTGCATGTGCCTGATATTCGCAAGAACTTAGTTTCTGGATCTCTGTTAAGCAAGAATGGCTTTAAACTTGTATTTGTTTCTGATAAGTTTTTTTACTTACTAAGAATGATGTGTATGTAGGAAAGGGTTACCTTAGTGAGGGCCTTTTCAAACTGAATGTGATGACTGTAAACAATTCCAATAATATTAATAAAACTACTACTTCTGTTTACTTGCTTGAGTCTTCTAATTTATGGCATAATAGATTAGGACATGTTAATTTAAGATCAACTAAGAATTTAATTCATTTAGATTTATTACCTAAATTTGAATGTGTTAATAAAAAATGTGATGTATGTGTTGAATCAAAATTTTTGAAATTACCTTTTAAATCAGTTGAAAGATCAACCGAATTGTTAGATTTAATACATACTGACATATGTGACATGAAATCTACACCATCTAGGGGTAATAAGAAATACTTTATTACATTTATTGATGACTGCAGTAGATATTGTTATGTGTACTTACTTAATAGTAAAGATGGAGCTATTGTTGCTTTTAAGCAATATAAGAGTGAAGTTGAAAATCAACTTAACAAGAAAATTAAAATGGTAAGGAGCGATCATGGGGGAGACTATGATGGCCCCTTCGAGGAATTCTGTATAGAGTCTGGTATTATACACCAGACAACAGCTCCATATTCACTCAATCAAATGGAATTGCATAAAGGAAAAATCAGACATTGAAAGAGATGATGAATGCCATGTTGATTACGTTCGATTTATCACATAATTTGTGGGGAGAAGCCATTTTGACGGCTAACTACATTATTAATAGAATGCCTCACAAAAAGACAAATAGCATACCATATGACATATGGAAAGAAAAGAAGCCATCCTTGAAATACTTTAGAGTGTGGGGGTGCTTGGCTAAGGTTGCGGTTCCTAAACCTAAGAGTTTGAAAATCGGACCTAAAATCGTGGATTGTGTATTCATCGATTATGCACTTAATAGTAGTGCTTATCGGTTTCTAGTTTACAAATCTGATGTTTCAGATATACAAGTTAATACGGTTATTGAGTCAAGGGAAGTTACTTTCTTTGAAGACGTATTTCCGTATAATAAAGTACATGAATCAAGTGGCAATAATGATGACAACATTATGATACCTTTGGATCCTACAACTAATATTGATCCTGTAGAGGATGTAGAAGATGAACCTAGACGTAGCAAGCGGCAAAGGACAGCCACATCCTTTGGACCTGATTTTATGACGTATTTATTAGAAAATGAACCTCGGACGTATAAGGAAGCTATAACGTCCCCGGAAGGACCATTCTGGGAAGAGGCTATCAATAGTGAGATAGAGTCTATCTTGTCCAACCACACTTGGGAATTGATAAACCTTCCTCCTAGAAATAAGCCTTTAGGAAGTAAGTGGGTGTTCAAAAGAAAAATGAAAGAGAATGGCACTATTAATAAATATAAAGCTAGACTTGTGGTAAAAGGCTACAGGCAATGTGAAGGTCTCAACTATTTCGATACTTATTCACCTATTACAAGGATCACATCCATTTGGATGTTGATCGCGGTAGCTGCATTAAATGGATTAGAAATACATCAAATGGATGTTAAAACCGCCTTCTTAAACGGCGACCTAGAAGAAGAGATATATTGAGAACAACCTGAAGGTTTCGTTGTTCCAGGACAAGAACGAAAAGTTTGTCACTTAATAAATTCCCTTTTACGGGTTAAAGCAAGCTCCAAAACAATGGATGCAAAATTTGACAAAGTTATGTTATCAAATGTATTTCGAATTAATGAATGTGAAAAATGTGTCTATGTTCGAAATACTGAAAAAGGATTTGCCATTGTTTGTCTTTATGTAGACGACATGTTGATCATGGGTAGTAATAATCAAATGATTAAAGCTACTAAACAGTTACTTAAGAGTAAGTTTGATATGAAAGATATGGGGATAGCAGGTATTAAAATCCATAGAACATCTACAGGGTTGGCCTTATCACAGGCTCACTATATAGCTAAGGTTCTTGAGAAATCCAAAAATTTGAATATAACCCCTATGAGGAACCCTGTAGATTCTAATCTTAGTTTATTACAGAACACTGGTAAAGCTACAACACAAAAGGTATATGCTCAAGTGTTGGGGAGCCTTATGTATGTTATGAACTGCACCAGACCTGATATTGCTTATGCAGTAAGTCTGTTAAGTCGCTTTACTAGTAATCCGAATGAAAATCATTGGAAAGCTATGGTAAGAGTTTTGGGATACTTGAAGAATACTCAAAATTTTGCTTTGCATTACGAGAAATACCCTGCAGTTATAGAAGGGTATTGTGATGCAAATTGGATCACCGGTTCTAACGACACTAGATCCACAAGTGGATATGTGTTCACCCTTGTTGGAGGTGTTGTATCTTGAAAATCGTCCAAACAGACTTGCATTGCAAGGTCAACCATGGAAGCATAATTTATTACTTTAGATAAGGCCGGTGAAGAAGCCGAATGGCTTTGTAATTTTATTGAGGATGTTCCTAATTGGCCAAAACCGGTACCAGCCATATGCATACATTGTGATAGCCAAACAGCTATTGGAAGGGCCAAGAACGTTATGTATAACTGTAAGTCTAGACATATACGTCGTAGACATGATACCCTAAGACAATTACTCTCGAATGGAATCATTACAATTGACTATGTTAAGTCTAAGGAGAACATAGCAGATCCGTTAACCAAAGGGATTCCTAGAGAGTTGGTTGAAAATTTGTCAAAAGGAATGGGTTTAAGCCCTATCAATTGTTGAGCATTGCAGTAACTCTACCTAGAAGAGTGGAGATCCCATGAACTAGGTTCAAAGAGACACCTAAGTGATGGTCAACTGTTCAAACACTGCGGAGTTTTTAAACTCATACTCATTCCTATGACAAGACAGTGTATTTATGAGGGTAAGCACTTAGACTTTTAATGATTTCTTAATATGTTGTGTTCAGATGATGTATAGTGAGTTACATCACAAGAAATCACCTATGTGAGTGAGAAGTGAGAGCCGCTTCTACGAGAATTTTTCAAAGGCCGATTCTCTAAAAACACTCACAGAACCAGACAGGTGTCCCACAGCCAAAATGGGCAAAACAAAGGACCAACAATGCTAGAGAAGCAATTGTGTGACTCCTATTGTCTAGCTATACACTAAAGGTTGACGATTCAAGTCGGCCAGACCACCGATTGACCAAGTATATCCGATAGGTTTTCACTAGAGAAGGTTCAAAGGTAACTCCACCTATCTCGATGCACTCACATAGGGAAATGGCTAAGTATCAGCCTAGGGCATTATGCCCTTCAGCTTATATAGGTCCATTTAATTAATCACGCAGTATTAGCACTAATAGCTACGCTTAGAATTTTAATCTCAAACTTAGGATTCTGAACCTACTCATTTTTCTAAGATTTTTCATATTTTTATTTTATTTTTCGCAGCACATTTCTGGTACGCGCTTTTACATAGCCAGTATCAGTTCTGGCACCAGTTCTCATTATTTTGACCTGAAACTTGTTATGTCAATCCTATATATTTTTCTAGTGACATATACATACTTTTCATAATTTTTTGGGATACTCCATCAGTACGCATTTATACCGAGTAACAGAACCGGTATCTGCACTTTTCGTTAGAAAAACAACTTTCAGCATTTCTAATCACTTACTATAATTATTTAAGCTTGCTTATAATTATTAGGGTCAGTTATGGAATTATTTCCTAATTCTCATATTTTATAATTACTTTCCTAAATTAACGGTGCGGGTTCTTACATTCACCTCACCTTCAGATATCTTCACAAAACCGCTACCGACGGTACTTCTCGACAACTGTAAGAAATTGATCAGCATGAAGGATGGGAGAAGCATTTAAGTTTACGGGGGAGTTTTGTTAAGTAAACGTTAAATGCCATTCTTAATGGGTTTAAATTTGGATAGTTTATGAGTCATGAGGTTAGCATTTATTTTAGGAGTTTTGAAAGGTTAAGAGTCAGTCATTATTTTTGTTATTAATGTTGAAGTGTCTCTCTAGTTTCTTGTGTCAGTTAAAATATTGAAGAGTCATGTCTCTTGATTTTCTTATGTGAGTTATGAGTAGTTAATTAGTGATGTTATGAGACTCTTGATTAGCCTTGTAATGAGTCTCTTCATTGGTACTTTCAGTTTTTTGTGTTGCCTATTAACAGGCTTCATGTAATGTAGAATTTAGAAGTAGCAACAAAGTTTAGTAAAATTGTTATCTTTCTCCACAAGTCCTCGTGACATTGTTGAATAATTGTTTTATTAATTGTTTTATTTGTTGATTCTGTATTTGAGCGATCCTACAGAACTGACACAACCGCGGTTACCCTTACATGGGCAATGTGTTTGCTATTGAGAAATCCTCTTACATTGGAAAAAGCTAAAGAAGAACTTAACACACATCTTGGGAAAGAGAGATGTGTTAGTGAATCAGATATAAATAAACTAGTATATCTTCAAGCTATAGTTAAAGAGACTCTAAGATTGTATCCACCAGCCACTATCTCATCACCCCGTGAATTCACAGAGAATTGCACTATAGGTGGCTACCATGTTAGAAAGGGAACTCGACTAATGCCAAACCTATGGAAGATCCACAGAGACCCTAGTGTTTGGTCAGATCTATTGGAGTTCAAACCAGAAAGGTTCCTTACCACTCACAAAGAGGTTGATGTTAAGGGTCATCATTTTGAGTTGTTACCATTTAAAGTGGCAGAAGGATTTGTGCTGGAATGTCCCTTGGCTTGAGTATTGTTCATTTCACTTTGGCCAGTTTTTTGCATTCCTTTGATATCTTAAATCCATCTATCGAACCTATTGATATGACTGAATCCTTTGAATTTACCAACACCAAAGCTACCCCACTTGAGATTATAGTTAAACCATGTTTGTCTCCCAACTGTTATGAAACTATGTGATCCTTAGTTAAATGGTGTTTGTCTCACAAAATGTTATGAAACCAGGTGATACTTGTGGTCTAAGGTTTCATTGAAGTGTCTTTGAAACCATGTAATCCTGTTATGAATTTATTTCAATGATGCATTGTTTTTAAATTTAGCAAAAATAAATAAATAAATCATGAAAGAAGAAGTAGGGCATAAGCATTTATATGGGTGCTTTGGCTTAATGCTACGGATGAATTGCATGTATAAGTCTTATTGGGTGGTTAGATCTCCACCTTATCTATTATCCTTCTCTCTATCTTGATCCTCTTAGTATTGTCTTCTATTTCTTCCTCTTTGATGTAATAGCTGATTGGACAAAATTAAGCTTGACCAAGCAATATTAATAATGCTTTTCAATTATATTTGTGACTATTTCCTTCTTGTTTGGCAAAAAGACTTGTTCTACCTGATGAGATGGTGGTGGTGGAGCATCATTTGGTCGTTAGTGGAAAATCATAATTCCCTTTTCTACTCTTAAAAAAGGGAAAAAAATTCATTGCAAATAAAATGAATGGCGAAGACCAAATGATGCCCACAAAACTTGTTTTTCCATTCAAATTTTTAAATCTTTATTATGTTATTTTTATTCTTGTGTGATACGAGAGGATGCTAAAAATTGTTTTGATGCTTTGCATATTCGACAAGTAGATATATATAGTGAGTGACTAATAGTAGATAGCTCCATTTTTGTAATTTTTTTTTTGGTAATCATTATTAAAATTAGAAACTAAATTATTTAGATTCACAGCCCATTAATGTATTTTGAAAAAATTCAGCATATACTTTTGGCATTTTCAAATAAATTAAAGCTAAGGCATGACATAAGGATTCACTTGTTGTTTATAGCAGGAAAAGAAAAGTTTATAAACATCTATACCATAATTTTGGGGGTTTAATTTTTTGCAGCAGCGTCAGAGAAGTTATGTCTGCCGTAAAGACATTCTTTTTAAGAAAAGGTGAGACCCACTAATTAAAAAAAAAAAGTCATTACCCAATGAATTCCCGAGAATACATTGTGTGCGGCAGTAAAAGCAGAAATAATTTTGTGACAATTTTGTGTCATAATTTTAATTTTATTTTTGGATATAGGAAAAAAAACAACAATTACAATCTATAAAGTGTTGGGCAACTAATACCCATATAATCTCTACCTATTAAATTACTTCTACATCCTAACGGAAGTTCTACAAAAAGATGGACGTCCTAATCATCAAACTGGTGAGCATAGCAGGCTAACCAATCAGCTAACATGTTACCCTCTCTATAAGGTTTTGAATTCTGCTAACAATGGGAGCAAGAGGACGGTATTCCTGGCACCCTCTATTTATCACGTTAATTGCAACCAATAAGTCCCCCTCAACCCAAACATTATTGTATCCTGCCTTTCTAGCTTGTTGCACCCCCTCGAGAAAGCCTATCAGTTTCTGCAGTTAAGGAGTTTCCATGTTCTAATCTCCCACAGAAGCCAATAATCTATTTTCTCCTATCATCCTTTAATACTCCTACAAAGCTGGAGCTCAACCTTCTGTTAGTACTTGAACAATTGACATTCACTTTAATCCAGCCTTGTCTTGGGTGTTTCTGTAACACCCCGTTCTAGAACCGGTTTGTTAACATCACGTATGACATTAGGCGCAGTGACAATCACAATAATTGAATTAAGGTACGAATAAACTTTTTCCTTTTTATTTATAAACGTTTATATTTAAAATCAAATTCGTAATTAAAACAATTTCAATAGTTGTAATCATAACTTAAACTATGTGTGGAACACCTAATGTAATTCTGTGTAGACCATATGTAGCTACCATAGTGTGCCAAGTAGTCCCCTTGGACCAACAAGACTTATAAACTCATTTTTATTGTTATTTAACACTAAACATCTCCACTCTTTATTTATTTAAGAAATTTATATACTACTTTTATGGTCCCCATCTTCCAATATGTTATAGAATTCTTCGTTAGCTACGCGTGGGTTCAACCGCGCTCAAATCGGAGCACCGTAGCTCAAGTTATGAATTTTCGAAGAAAAAGTGCTGAATTTCATAGAAGAAAAAGTGCTGATAGCGCCAAACTTACTGACTTTTTTGCGTCTTACGGCGCCGACAGCGCCAACTTGGCGCTGATAGCACTAACCCACTATTTGGTGGAGCCAATAGCGCCAATTTGGCACCAAAAGCGCCACGGTTCTGGAGATTTCACTATATTTTGGTATTTTACCCATAACTTGAGTTATACTTATCTGTTTGACACAATCTTGGTCTCGTTGGAAAGCTAAGAAAAAGATCTATAACTTCCATTAAGACACAAGGGTCCAAATCTATCATATAGTATATAAAAAATGGACAAAAAGACATGACATCTTTATTTTTACATTAATTCTCAACCTCAAAGGTTTTCTTGCACCTAATAGTTATTGTACAACCATTTCAATACATGATTCTTGCCATTTCAAGGCTCACATGGTATCCAAAGGGCTTAATTACATAAATGTACTTCAAAATGATTACACACCAAAGACTTAGAAATAACAAGTGACCAAAGTCCCATCAAGGCAATACAACATCAATGATCGACTTCTAAGTCCTAAATGCATTCATCTATTACTAATGCATCAAAATATCTCAAATATCATCTATCATATGCAAGCTACTCGCGCCCTTTGTCTCGCCCAGTATCATCTCTGCTTACACCTGAAATAGAAGTCCCCAAATGGGGTGAGATAAAACTCAATAAACCTAGGGTTCTTGGAGAATTGCTCCAACCCCAGAGTTCACTTCCTGCTTGAAGGGTTAGTATACCCATGGCATGAACTACATCATATATCCAGAGGCAATAACAGTAATGATTTAATCACAGCATACTCGTGTATTCAAATGGCCAAAGAATTAAACAATCAAATCATCACACACGCTTCAGTTGCATCTTAGTCCTTTCCACTAAGCATACAACCTAGCCCCTAGTGCTTGTCCATTGGCCTTTTCTCTTATGAAACAACAATACTATATGAATGCAAACATACCAAAATACTAACATTACCACTCAATCATCCATTCATTAACCATTACTTCCGTAAAAGCAATGGTGGAACCACAAGAGGGATTAACCTCCAAGATCCAAAGGTTTACCTCTTGATGTTTCCTCTCCTTTTGCAAGCTTTCTTCTAACTCCCTTATCCACACCAACGTTTCTTGGTATGTCCACTTGGAAATTCCTTCCAATCACCAATACACCCTATTCAAGAGTGTGAAATCAATCAACATATATCCATGAATACATCTATCTTTATCAACAACATAGAAAATCCACACTTTCAAGCATAATTTTCCAAGATTATTAAAACTAACTCCAATCACAAATTAACTTCACTTCTACCATTTATTTACCATTCCTAACAACTTTTACAAAGAAAGTTAGTCTCAATCTCTCTCCAACATACCCTATTATTCATGCATTTTCATAAACCAAAACCTTAAACATGCATCTTAATCAAATTAACCAAAATGGATGGAAAGCTTACCACAATCCAACCACAAAGGTTCAAGGAAGGATAACCAAGCAATAAGGAGACAATGTTTCACCTCAAGGTCCTCCACTTCAAGATTTTCGCCCCCTTCCACAAGGAATATCTCACTCCACCATGGTTCCCACTCAAAACTAAGTTAGGCTTATGAAAGAGGAAGAGATTTGGAGTGGTTTTGGCTTTGGAATGAGTTGATTTGGATGAGAAATAAGAGAGTTATGGTTTAGAGCTCAACTTCCATGGCTTCTCACCCTCCCCTCCACGGGTTGGTCGCTGGAAGAAGAAGAAGAAATGAGATTGGGTTGGTGTTTTGTCACTTATAAAAGGTTAAGTTATCTCAACCGGGTATCAGCTCATCTATCTAGTTAACTCCACTCACTTCCAAACTTTACCCAAAGGTCTCGAATATTTTTCTAGTAATATTTTTACTAATAATTTTATATTTTTGGTACTTTTGCCTACACCCATTTTTATCCCTTAATTATCACTAACTGCACTTTTTGATCCAAAATTATTTCAACTCACTAATACATGATAATTTACTTAAATACATGTAATTTACTATTTAATTAGGTTAGGGATATTATAGTTTCCATCTTATATCTTGAATTGTCTTTTGCACATTAGAAAGACCATCAGAGGAAAGGATCTTTTAGGCAATTAGGATGTTGCACAGATAGTTCTTTATTGCCAAGCTAGTCCCTCTTTCATGCAGGTTCTTGCCATTAAAATCATCTCATTCCTTGCTTTTCATATGTGCTAGCAAGCAACCCCAAAGATTAGGTGCGAGTTCTGAACTGAATGTAAGTTTGTTCGTTTTGTGAGATTATCTTTCAGCCATATCTGGAACGGTTGGGTGAAGAAACTGGGATGCAAGGAATGGTGGAGAAGCCTTTCCCATACTCCCTCACTCCAACTGTAGTCTCTCAGGCTATGCAAGCAGTCTTCCACGTGATTTTGGCATCTGGGACATGTATCTGAGGTAGTGAACTTACGCTTCATTCTCCTAGCGTTCGTTAAGAATCTCATTTTTAGCTTCCAACAAGAAGAACCTAATACGGTTAGGTCCATCCCACTTCCAAACCACGTCGCAACCTTGGTCCACATAGGAATTAATTAAATTAATTGAGTTTGGAAATCATTTAGAGTATGGTATTAAGCTATTATCAAGTAATTCCGCATCGTTAAGATGTTGTAATCACATATGTGAATAATGTAGCAAAGGAAATATAATAACATGATGCAATTAGATAATGATGGAAGTTTAAAAGGAAAAAAATTATTTGTTTATTGTAATTGAGCATTGTGATTGTAACCGCGCTTAATATCATAAACAATGCTAACAAATCGGTTCTAGAACGAGGTGTTACCTACCTCCTAGCTTGAGCGAACTAGTCAGCGAGGGAATAATAGCTCACTGATCCCGCTCGCTACAGCGAGCTGGTTCGCG